AAAACTGCGCACTTGGAAATGGTTAAAAGCGAGAGATAATTCTTTTTCATACTCATTTTCTTCTTGGACTAAGTCACCTTTCGTATGTCTTAATTTTTATTAAGTGATTTTGTCGGTGATTATTGTTATCTGGGTGTGTGATTCTGACTTAGTTGCGACAATGCTTTTGACAATGGTGATTGATTTCACTTTGTAGTTGATAGTCTTTTTTGGATTGCTAGTTTGGTTGTTCTACCTATTGGTGTAAGGTTTTTTATTGTATGATGTTTGCAAATTGATTTTAGGAGGTGTGTAGTTATTGTGTTGTTTTCTTTAAACACCTATTGATGTGAGAGGTCCACTACTTACTTTGGTTATGTTGTGTATATGGGTTGGAGTATCCCTTGTATTCCTGTTATTTAATTCAATTTTTCTTAGCAAAAAAAATATATAAAAAGATTTTTTTTTATTAAACAGAGACATTGAATTCGATATATGTGTTGACAGGAGTTCCTATTTATATATCTGAGATGGGCATATGGGTTTCTATTTGTCTAACATGGATTAATGTTTATTATTTTTACATTAATGATTTTGTGTTATTTGACCATTGATGGATCTTCATGGTCCTCAATTTAAAGGGGCAATTAGGGCTTGATTTTGTCCATCTTTTTCCTGCTTCTATAACCATGTCTCACTTTCAAGGTGTTCTAATGACGTGACTTTTTATTTATATATCTGACATGGCTTTCTATTTATGGATTAATATTTATTATTTTTTATTAATTATTTTGTATTATTTGATTATTGGTAGGTCTTCTTGGTCATTAAAGGGAAATTAGGGCTCAATTTTGTCCATCTTCTTTCTACTTCTAATAACCATGTATCACTTTGCGGTTCTTCTTCGAGCCATTGCAATTCACCCATGAGTAACAATTCTACCATGGATTTGCATTCCTCTCATAGATGTAGAAATCAAAGATTGACTATGTTTTTCCATTTTGGAAACGTGGCAATATTGTGAATAACATGTACATAGGAGAAAGATTAACAATCTTCAAAGTGCATTAAAACTATCAAATCATGATATAAAAATGTTGATTATTGTTGGATCTTTAGTTCATTATCATTAGATTTTTATTAAGGGTCTATCTGATTCTTCTCAACAGATAAATGCATGCAATGGTTTTTATTGTGATGACTTCTCTCCAAATAAACCATACAAACCTAGCCTTTGGACTGAGTCTTGGAGTGGTTGGT